CCAGAACGATGGGGTGAATTAAAAGGCAACAGAGCAATACAGCTGCCGTCACATATACTCGTTTTTACTCTTTTATTTTTCTCTCATAAACCAATAGGTTACGTCACAATTTTGATGAGCGACTATTAGATGAATTCAAGAGGATGGTCAGAGACTTTTTTCATTCCCCTCACTGAATGAGACCCCCATAGTAACTCTTGACTGTAGAGAGGGTTCTTAATAACATAAATCACCGTCAACTTACTTTTATTTTATATCGTACCTGAACTAAAAACTATTAGCTGTTATTTATATGATTCGAACCTTTCTTGAGCGAGGAACTGCTATGGTGGGGTCTCATTCAGTAAGGAGGGAGACATGTGGTGCGGCAATTACTGCCACCTAGCAATATTTCCAATTTTAATAAGGAGGAATGTATCCAGGCGTGTGACTCATCCCGCTTCCGCTTATACAACCACCCCATAGCCTCATTCCCCTTCAAAAATGGTACTTTTAGGCAATATGAACTGTCGCACATATACCCTCTACCACTCCGAGGACGAGACTCCATAGGTAGCCTGCAATTCCAAGCAGGAAATATACGAACGCTTTCAAAAAGCAAGCAGATTTCTTTCAGAATTTTGTCTATAACTGCACAAGTGCAGCGAACAGTAACGTATTTGGAACCCGGAAAGCTACTTCAGCACTTTCTACGTCGTTGTAAACTAAAACGCCACTTTATATTCTGTATACTCGACCACTTCGAAAAGGTGTGATTTCGTGGAGTAGAAAATAGGATCACGAATAGCGTGCTGAAGCTTCTGATGGTTGGTATTTCAGCAGCATTTACTAGGAAGTGTCATCGACCAACACAGCCATTTGCAATGAGGTGTGCACCGCCGATTTTTTGAGACGTGATCTCTAATCTGTCCACGGGATTTGTTAAACGACTCTCTTGAAAAAGCTAAGGAGTTTTCCTTCAATCGCACTATCTTGCCTAGCCACATGCAAGAGCCTTTACAATGGATCAGTGGGCTTGACGTTATATCTAACGGCGCAGTTGGTAGCTGTGGCTCACAAGTAGGACTTGCGTTCAGTACAATGCCGAGTTCGGTAATTTGCTTTTTTTCAATAGCGTCGAAGAAAAACTCTTAACACGTTGACGACATCGCGCGTTTTGGGTTTTTGCACCGCGTGGGACAAGGGCGCTTTTGCGAGCGCGGCCGTCACACCTCACACCCGTAAATTTCGAACGATAACCTTGGGAAGCTTCAAAGGTACGAAACCATTTCAGCAATATCAATGCGTAGAAAGTAATCGAAGATATAGTAGCGAAATTCCGATCAAAAAACGTGAAATGGTAAGAAAATTGGAATTTAAGTCCTTTTCTCTGTAGTGGATGCCAAAACTATTTTCGATGTGGATGTGTCAAGTGAAACATATATCTTTCTATCCCTTTAAGTTTGTATTTACTTTCACTACCCTTTCTCACTGACATGTTCATGAGAATAGGAAGAAAACGAGGAATGAACCGAGCTGCCAATTCCGCTGTGCTTGAAAAACTTCTGCTAAACTGGAGCATATTTGATCATACCGTGACCCATGTCGTTTACAGTTATGTTATGTTGTAATCCATAGAATAGAGGCAAGCAAATTGGGAAGAATCCCCGCATACGCTAGAAAAAGGGATGACAAGGGTGAGACGCGCAACCGCGTCTCAATGTCCAACGAGGTGCGCAAAGTGAGACGCGTTACCGCGTCTCAATGTCGTCAATGTGTTAATATTGTCTTAATAGTTTTTTTTGTTGACTGCTATTCGATGTTGCGGATGGCGTTGCAAATTCTCCAAAAGAATGCTGAGTTATGGCCAAAACTTTCGCTCAGGCGAGAATAACTCAGCATTCTTGTTGAACTCTCGATTACTTTTCTCCACCGAAGTTTGCCTGCAGTTAGTTGCTTGTACGAAGGTTGCGAACATTTAATTATAA